CAAAGTCCTAGTCGTAACTTACTTGGGTCCACATATACTGCGGCTGTATAGAAAGTCCTAGCCGACATAGTTTGGTCGACATGTATGCGCCCGTGTAGACAGTAGTCGTAACCTACTTGGGTCTCATATATGTGCCTGTATAGGCAGTAGCCATAACCTATTTGGGTCGACGTATACATGCGTTTGTGAAGAGGTCCTGGCCTAACCTACTTAAATCGACGTTCACTGCGTCTAGGGTAAAAACCAATCAAAAAATCAGCACCCTTTGTCTGCCAGGAAAGTCCGTTTAAATTTGTAATTTTGAAATAGGGAAAGCATAGTTCGCCTTGTAGTTAAAGATCCGAATCGTATATAGAACTGGAAATATAGTATATGGATTTTTAAAAGAAACAAAACATAATTTTAATAAGTGGTAGAAGAGTTTTGAAAAAAACAGGGTGTCATAAAATTACTCTGCCTCGTACATAACATCAGCAACTGCTAATAAGAACCCCATTTGGTAAACGAATCACATAAAAACTGAAGGCGCTAGATTAATAAAATAAATATATTTAGCCAGACATTACGGACTTTATATCACTAGATACCAGTCGCCTCGTATCTCTATAATATGTACCTGACCAAGGCAGCGTAATCCTACTGTAATGGAGAACGACATCAAACCAAAAATTATTTTACTAGTTCGCGACGATAATCAAAGTGAGAGTCTCTTTCATGATAAGCAATTTTTTGCCACCAGTCATCGTCAACCGTTCCAGTTTTAGAACAATTGATTATCGCTTGTAGAAATGATGGTATAATTGTTTTTCTACTATATTACATTCTCAAGTTGTCTCTGTTATCAGAATCTAAGTGGTTATTACTCCAGGAATCCAATTACATGACGCGATAAGTTCCTAACTTGTACATCAATAAAACCAAGGGATATAACTAGGTTTTTGTCAGATGAGTAGTTTGTATTTTTAAGGCGATAACAAGATATAGAGTTAAGGACCATGAATTACGATAAAAAAATGGAGTTTCACATCTCACCTGTTCGCACTAACCAGGCTAATAAGATGAACTTATGGAAGCCCGCACTTGGTTGAATTCCAGTGTCAAGTGTTCTCTTATGCACGCCAACATGTAAACAAAATCGCGAGGGTTTTTCTTTTAACATCCGAACGACTCGACATAGTTCCTTGCCATACCCTCCGCCTTGCACATTGTACGACCAGCGTTGTAATTATAAACTCGGGAACAAAAACAAGTTACAAGAATGAAACAAATTCGTCTTAAATTCCATGATGAACGAACTCTGACACGACCTTCAGAATCTGAACTAAAGTGACTCCAGAAATTGAATTGCCGGAGCTAACCATGCTAATCCTTTTAAACACATAATTAATATGTAACATATAATATTTTTCATGCCTTAAATAAACACACAACTACTCTTGGAGTTGTAAGGACCAATCTCATTATAGAGCAGGAGCCCAGGGGGTTAACCTAGCTGAAAAGTGTACCAATTTTCTCCTATATGGTATCAATGTATGTATATCTGGTATCATCAGAATGTAATTCTGCCGGGTTTCTGGTGGTGGGTGTGGTATTCCAAGCCCCAAATGCCATGATCCCCAACTTGGCTAGATTAGCTCAAAGGTGTACCACATGAAAATCTTACTGCAGTGTACCGTACATCTTCAGGTATTACAAAAACACTCTGACAGACATTTCTAGTGGTGGGATACCCCTGACAGAGCTATGTAATTGCCAGACATTTTTAGTGGTGGAGTATCCCTGACAAGAGTTACCTAATTTCCAGACCAAAGCTAGGCTAGATTAGCTGAAATCTGTACCACCTAAAACAGCTTTGGAGTTGTTCAGTACCACCACAGGAATCATGAATGACCACTGCCAGACAGTTTGTGCGGTGGGTTGCCCCTAACAGACACGCCCAAAATAACACGACCCCCAACTAGGATAGATTAGTCGGCACTGTTCCTTTGGTCCAAAAAATTAAAAATTATGCCAGGATGCGTAGAATACTAATCCCTAGCACATATGGAAGAGGCGATAAACTGCGGATGTAGGAACAATTTTATTTTTCAAAAACGCATTTTTAGCCCCATAAAATGTTTTTTGCCCAAAAATCAATTTCTTGCAATCGCAGTTTATCGCCTCTTCAATACGTGCTAGGTATTAGTATCCTACGCACGGGAACAGTGCTGCGAAGCTAGCCTAGTTGGGGGCGTGGCATTTTCGGGCGTGTCTGTTAGGGGTAACCCACCGCACAAACTGTCTGGCAGTGGTCAATCATGACTCCTGTGGTGGTACTGAACAACTCCAAAGCTGTTTTAGGTGGTACAGATTTCAGCTAATCTAGCTTAGCTTTGGTCTAAATATTAGATAACTCTTGTCAGGGATACTCCACCACTACAAATGTCTGGCAATTACATAGCTCTGTCAGGGGTACCCCACCACTAGAAATGTTAGTCAGAGTGTTTTTGTTATACCTGAAGATGTACGGTACACTGCAGTAAGATTTTCATGTGGTACACTTTTGAGCTGATCTAGCCTCGTTGGGGGTCATGGCATTTAGGGCGTGGTATACCACACTCACCACCAGAAACCCGGCAGACTTACATTCTGATGATATCAGATATACATACATTGATACCATATAGGAGAAAATTGGTACATTTTTCAGCTAGGTTGGTCCCCTGGGCTCCCGGTCCCTTTATGAGACATGAGATGGAAGACGGGCATACGCCATACAGTGTGCTATGGGGGACGTTTTGCCCGTACATCGGCGCTATGGCCTACATTTATATCGAATTTCAAACGCCAATGGTTCCTGTACGACTTTCATCACTCTAGGTTAGCAAGCTAACGTCTTACTCCCTGAGCCACCGCGGAGTAATATATACTGCGATATTGTATTATGACATGTATTTGATAATATCTGTCTTGATCAAATTTTCATTCCATTGATAATGGTAAAAATTCCCGGGGCCCTTCTTGGCCGACACTGGAATTCAATCCCGAATTGTCCTCCCTTGACAGTGGTGTAGAACCGAGGGCAAGGTCCCGAGTAAATAAGAGTCGGCCATAGCGCGGCTATCTTGGTAAAATTTTCCTCATAGCGCACTCCATGGCATTTGTCCGTCTTCAGTTTCCAAGTAGGTGCAGAATAGTAGGACGTTAAACACCATGGCATTTGATTTTGAACCCCAAATATCCCGGTTATTGAACCAGCGCTTGACCACCTGAGCAACCTGAGCTCCAGGTTCGGTAATGACCGGAGCATCAGCCAAGGTCTGTCAACAAATATTTTACAATAAGATTTATATGAATAAGATAGTGTCTTTAATCAGGTCTCCATCAAAATTTGTCAAGCGAAGCGAATTCTCGTCTTCTATTTCGGTTGTGTCTGACAATTTCCAATAAAAACTGACGGAATCTCATAGGTGTTATTTTTATAAGACTGACGGGTCTGACAACAGGAAGTAGATTTGTATGTCTAAAGATTATAAAGAAAACGAGTTTGGTGTCTAGGTACATTAAATACATTAGTAGATCGACATGTGGACATCACTGATAAATAGAGGAACACGCACATGTCTGTAGACACACGAGTTGTGTTAATGAATGAATGTGAACAAGAATTAACAAATTAAAAGAAACACAAAAGATACACAATGTGTAAACATTAATATTGGTGTGTAGATTTTAAAAGAAATATGCGTGCATTGTAAAGGAATGGGGTTTATAAGATACTTTGCCTATTTTTTTGTTTTCGCGAAACTCCTTGGGTAATGCCACAAGATGGAATAGATGATTAATTCGTCAATGCTTTAGTTCGTGCTCAGTATGCACGTGACTAAATTGTGTTTATATATATATATTATAGATGAGTGGACTGTGTCTCGTCACTCTGTTGTGGTGTATGGTGCAGTCGTTCTACCATCAGCTTTATTTATAAAAAGTGTATTATTAGAAGGCTTCCTAGTCCCGTCCTCACACCCCTCTTTGTATGCCCTTACTATTCTCATATGCTTTGCGGGACTTCACGCCTATTGCAAGTCTTTCTTTGTGCCTTAAAGGAGCTAAATCGCTAACACAATATTTTCTATAAAATTCGAAATTAAAAACACGAATTAGCATTCAATATTGATCGATTTCAATCAATACTGATTTTGTTATCTTGCCGTGAAACTATAGGATCCCAATATCCAATATTTAAGACACAATTAACATTTCGGGTGCCATTTTGTAATGAACAATGTCGAAGTAATTACTAATGTCTGGTTCACAAACGACAAAAATAATAATTTTAAAAACGTGTAGAATGTACCAAGCAGACGTAAACGAAAGCCGTTCAATTTGAACTGTTAACGTATTTCACCGAACATAATTGATTAGAAATTACAATATTGTTTTTCAAGACTTGAATATAAATCGCTTTACATACATTCATATTACAATAATATGTGCTTTTAGAACTACTTTGTCTATTTCAAGGTTCTAAAAAATAGAGCCATATACGCCCTTTAAATGTTATATAGATTATTAATTAGACATTAATTAACTTAACAAGACTATAATCAACCCTCAATGGCATCGGATAATCTAGATTTTCAACAGATTTAAATACGATTTGCAGTTAATGATGTAACGCAAAAGTGGATAATGAGGACTTTGTCTGTTATCTTTATTATCTTAACAACGGCATCAGTGACGATCAAGGCTACACTGCCCTTTTCCTTATCTATTTTGTAACTATTATAGCGGGTTCTGCCCTTTTCCTTATCTATTTTGTAACTATTATAGCGGGTTCTGTCAGCTATTTATCTAATCTTACATACGCCCCCCCCCCCACACACACACACACCACCACCACCACCCGCGCCTTTAACTTTTAACCAACCATATCTGTCGCACTTTTAGTATTAGTACCACCATCATCAAAACAATTTGATTTGATTATAATTTTTGAATTTTGTTTCTTCTCATTTCAGCTGTATCCGTGGGGGCTAGTTGTTTTACTCTGGTGGCCATCAGCATGGAGAGATATTACGCCATTTGTCAACCGCTCCACTCTCGATCGTGGCAAACTTTGTCCCATTCCTACAGGAGCATCGCTGTTTGCTGGGCACTATCTGCTGTAATCATGACACCTATAGCCGTGTTTCAATCTCACCGTCGCCTTCCCAGTGGAGCCCATTCTTGTCGGGAAAAATGGCCGGATTCTAATTGGGAGAAGGCCTACAGTGTGTTCCTGGACCTGGCTTTACTCGTGGTACCAGTGCTGATCATGACGATTGGCTATGGGTGTGTTATACGTAACCTAGCCAGAGACGTTAGAACAGATTGTAATATGACCATGTTTACTAACGGTAAGTCACCATTAATAAAATGGAACGGTCTATCAAAAAAGGGAGAGAAAGAGGGGGGGGGGAAGAGAGAGAGAGAGAGATGGGGTTTAACGTCCACTCGACACAAACTAGGTCATTTCGGGACTAACATATGGTTCAATTTTATTTCAATAATTCGCTTGCGCGTAGGGGTCTTTAGCAGTTTTTGAGGAAACAGGAGGACCCGGAGAAAACCCACGAGGTTGAACAGGCGACCCTACTCCTCTATCAAAAAAAGGGAGAGAGAGAGAGAGGGGGGAAAGAGAGAGAGAGAGAGATGAGGTTTAACGTCCACTCGACACAAACTAGGTCATTTCGGGACTAACATATGGTTCAATTTTATTTCAATTATTCGCTTGCGCGTAGGGGTCTTTAACAGTGGGAGGAAACTGGAGGACCCGGAGAAAACCCACGAGGTTGGACAGGCGATCCTACTCCTTGTCACGTACAACCGGGGATTCGAAACCACGCCAGTTGACTCAATGACAGGCCTTATGATACAGCCTCAATGACAGGCCTTATGATACAGCGCGCACGTTCCAACCATTCGGCCATCCACCCCCCACCCCCCCATCAAAAAAGGGAATGATCTGGAAGTTCCAATGAAAAGGGAATAATCTGGAAGTTCCATTGCAAAACGGGTTGACCTGGGTTTCCTAATTAATAGGGTGTTGCAAAGAATTATGAATGCCCTAGGATAAAAGTAATGACTCCAAAGAAAATACATGAACTGGGAGTTCCAATGACACTTGACGTGCTAAAAGGGGACCAAAAGCCACACGATGCGTGAATGACCTGGGTTTCCTAAATAATAGGGTGTTGCAAAGAATTATGAATGCCCTAGGATAAAAGTAATGACTCCAAAGAAAGTACATGAACTGGGAGTTCCAATGACACTTGGCGTGCTAAAAGGGGGCCAAAACCCACACGATACCATTATAAGTGAAGAATGTTTAAATATAACCGTTATAACCGATATTTAAAATATCTGTGCACCTAAAATCACGAGAGGAAGTTATTCTACAAGTATATTAGGTTAAGTGTCTGTGGGTTTGGAATGCCTCAGGCCGTCACCCACTAAATTATATATTTTCTTGCTTGATATTTTGTTACTGAGATGTGACGTTGACCCCCTGGGCCTTTCGATTCATAGGATTATAGGATCTTGATTTTGACGTCAACAGGGTACATCAAATCGCCCCCAGTTCTTCTTTGGTACATAATTGTTATTTCTGTTTCATGAACTATGGTATTTTTTTTTGTTCCGAGGACATTCTTATGTCCTCTGTAAACCAATAGAAGTGTAGAAATGGGAAACATCAAAAGAATCACCCGACTGGCTGACATTCAGAGAAACCGGGTTTTTCTTTCTTGCATTTACATAAATATGTTCTTGTAAGACATGTATATTTAACGGGGGGGGGGGGGTCCCATCAGGAATACTAGACATCTGTCCTTTTCATGACCTCCGTCCTGCACCACTGATAAGGGGAAACAACGCCGGAAAATCACGATGGACTTTCTTGGCCAACACCAAACGACAGCGTCTTACTGAGTCACCGTGGATCACCTTTTTGGACTAGGAACTGTTCCTGGGGGCGATGCTCTTCGAAAAAACCCGAAGGCTCAGCTAAATCAAGTACAACCGACAGAAAACTTGACACGCTTGTCTAATTGCGCATCGATTGTGGACATTTATTTTTTTATATAACATTAAAATGCCAAAATGTGGATACTCTCGCACTTGTTGTTGTCTTCCTCCATCATTTTGTTACCACTCACAATTGTCACACGATCTTTCTTCCAGACATAAGGTGGACTGTGTAAATAAATGAACGTATCTATTGAATCATTAGATAATGTTATTATACATCCGTCTCGTGTGACTCGAATCAAGTTTGGTAGTCGATTTCCATGGTCTGGGCCACCATCATAGACAAACATTGAATTAACTTCTCTGTCTCATAACACGCATAACTATAGAAATAAAATAAAATTAATTGATGCTTAACATGTTGAGAGGTATTATGCCTCCAGTAACATCGGATTCGGAACACGATCCGACGTGTTGAGAAGCGACAATTTATTACTCTAGCAGAAAACGAAATGAAATGGGGTTTAACGTCCTACTTTTCTGCACCAACTTGGCTAATGAAAACGGGGATACGCTATGCAGTGTGTTAAGGGGGGCACCTGTCAATGGTCAATGGTTCTTTAGTGTGCACACTAACATAGACTCGAGGCGTCGGTTTTTCGTCCCAACCAAACGAATATACACTGTCTCATTCTATACTACTGACAAGGGGAAACTGCCATGGAAAATCCCGAGAAATATGAGAAAACATAGATATGCGCTAGAATTGCATTATAGTATCTTTATTTACTGAAATAAAGCTGTCCCCTCCATGTGACAAGAAGGTGGGGGTGGGGTGTATTTGCTTTCAATAACACCTGATATCGCTTCCCATTTGTGTTGAACACGGTGTATACGTAAAGATAGAAGCATCAATTATTGTATGTAAACATACATTATGGGAGATTAGATAAAGAGCTGGCAGTTCTAACTATAATAGTTAAAAAACAGATAATGTAAAGGGAATTTGCTGAAAATTTCCGTTAAATTTGATCCACTCGGAACCGAGATTTAAGCGATTGAATTTTCGGCCTAGCCTCAATCATCATTACTAAAGTCGGTACGATAAAAAAAAACATGTCTCGATTATCCATTTCATGATTAAATCTTGAATGGAAGTCGAACAGCAAATCGGAAACTAATCCAATAAACACCACAGGCTAGCGGGAGTTGATTATGGTCTGGATAAGTTAATTAATAATTAATGTATATTTAATAATTTAGATAACATTTCAGGCCTAAAAAAAGACCTGCAATAGGCAGATTTAGCTCTTGCATAATGTATGTTAAGTCCCCGAATGACCTAAAATGTCGACTGGGCGTTAAAACAACATTTCCATTCTTAAAAGAGCTAAATCACTAATATTTGGAACCTAGAAATTGACAAAAATGGGTCGCAGCGCATATAATAATGTAATATGAATGTATATAAACTGATTTACATTCAATCGCTTCTGTTTTTATTGTAATTTCTAATCAGTTATGTTCGGCGAAATACGCCAGAAGTCTCATGTGAATAGCAATCTTTAGCGTATGTATTGCGCATGCTCTCCAGATAAGAATATAGCGTCACCATTTGACATGACTTGCGGAATATGTCCAGCCCTGTTCTTTGATTCCCTTGTTCCAAATGGCGCTGAAACGCATTATGGTACACGATTCGTGTACCAATTGTAAAATGTTTATTTTGTCTTGAATATTGGATATCAGAAGCCCATCTTTCCCCTGTAAGATCACAAGACCAATGTTGATTTGAATTGACAAATAATTCGTGATTTCAATGTCGAAGATTTTTGATGATATTGAGTTAGAGACTTAGCTACTTTAATATTAAATCTTTTACTGGCAAACAAACTATACTGATCAGAACATGTTGCACAGTCACGTTTAGCGATGACAAACTTCAAAATCTGGATCAATCTGTTTCTACCGTTATGCCTTCAACCTGAACTTAATCAGGTTATAGTATTGAATATAGACAAGTTAATCTTAAATTGTCATTAGTTGATGACAAGATAATCCCCTTTCTTAAACTTCACTTTGTCTGCGTGGCAATATTTAATAGGATTATAAGGGGTTGCTTCTGCAAATTTAAATAGTCTCCTGCGGCCGGATATGATTGTGTCTAGTGGAGCGAGACCATAAGCTTTTTAAGACATTGTCCCTCAATGATTAAAAAAGGAATCTTGACAGAAACTTGGTAAATATATTTGCCTTATCTGATTCACAAAAGGTTTATTAACGCGTGAATTTGAAATGAAATGGGGTTTAATTTCCAACCGTTCTGCTCCGACTGGGCTTATGAAAACGGGCATACGCCACACAGTGTGTTATGGGGGGGGGGGGTAGTCTTATATCGAATTCCAACTGCAAAGGGATCTTTTACGTGCACGCCAATGTGTACACGGAACCTCGGTTGCTCGTCCCATCCGAACGACAAGAGCGCTTTCCTTGTCAGGCTCTCCGTCCTACACGCACCCCTGACAAAGGAAAACTACGCCGCAAAGTCCCGATGAGACTTTTTCGGCCAACACCGAGAGCGAACTAGCGTCTTACTCACTTACCCAAAGTGGATCCGAAATGAAATAAAATAGGGTTCAATGTCCTACGTTTGTGCACCAACTGGGCTAATAAAATACGGTATAACGTCATACTCTTCTGCACCGACTGGGGTAATGCACAGGAATGTGCCATGAAAGAAAATTTGCCCGTACAGCGTCGTTTTCGCCCCAATTAGACTCAGGTTGAATCCAGAATGGCCGGTGAATTTTAACGAGTCTACTTGGGGAATACCAACCTTAAGCCAAATCCTTTTTAAAAGGGTAAAAGCTAAATTGGACCAAGTTCAGTGTCTAAAAAGGGTTAGCGTTAGAGTGGATATTTCCCAGATAGACTCATTAATATGCGGCGGCCATGTTGGACTCAACTTGGGCCCATTTTACCACTGACCATTGTCAATAGTTCTTTTAAGTACACGACGCCAGCGTATACACGGGACCATTCGAAGGATTAGACGACGTCCCTTGGCATGCGCCACGAACAATATAGAACGGTATACCCGAACCCTGATCCAGCAGTTCAGTCAGGTAGTCATTCCACTTCAACGTATACACGTGATCATTCAAAGGATTAGACGACGTTACTTGCCATGCGCCACGGACAATATAGAACGGTATACCCAACCCTGATCCAGCCGTTCAGCCAGGTAGTCATTCCACTTCAACGTTAATCCTTTTAATGCACTAAAGTAACTTTATTTGGTCTCATTTGAAACAAACATCTTTTTTAATCAGGCGCATTATCTCTTACACACTGAAGGTCAGTATCGCTTACAATTTCCGGAAGTCTATGGTCTGGGGAAATCGATCTTTCTTTATCATCTTATCGAGTTAGCGATAAAGCTAGACTTTACCATATTTGTACTGTTCTGCTTTCGTTTAATAAATCTATTGATAAGTCTCATACCCATAAAGACAGCGTGTTAAATGATTATAAGTAGCATGTTATATCTCAAAACACAGACGCCGACTTATCGGGTTTATTTTACACAAAGGATGAACATTATCACAGAAATGTATGATGGGGACATGGGTTGAACTATAACAATGCCTCGAGACTGTGTACATATTATAGGTTTAAGGGGCTTTTAGAATCCACACGTGACATACCAAAGAGATCAAAAGTTATGTTTTTTGTATTTATAAAACCGTAATAAGCAGAATCAATGTTTTATATTTTGTGGAAATGAAATGCAATTAAATAGGTTTCAACGTCTTTATTTTCTGGATAATGAAGACGGACATATATCATGCAGTTTGCTATAAATGAGGGACAGTTTGCCCGCACAGCACTGTTCACCGAATTTCATAATGCGTCGCCGCCAGGGCAAAATATCCCTCATACCACACTGCATGGCATGTGCCCGTCTTCATTATCCAATTTGATACTTATTTCATTTCCGTAGCGCCGCCGTCCGAGCAACATCTCCCACACAGCACCCTGTATGTCTTCATTGGCTGGGTTGGTACTGAAAAATAGGACGTTAAACCCCATTTCATTTCACGTCATATTTACCATGGATAGTTATAATAATTACCACCCGTGTATCAAATAATCTATATTATATTTATTTATCTGTTGACATTATAACTGATTCCGTGCTTTATTGAACCAATTGAAGCTCCGTGTATTTAACAATATAATGAAATGCCAAAGTTCAATTCAATAAGATTGATATATGACACGGGCATGTCAAATAAATAAAGCCTATTAAGGATACATGATGTAAGGATTTAGATTAAGAGATGACAGTTCTCGCTATAATAGTTTAAACACATATTATAATGAAAAGGGAATATATTGAACGTATTCAGACAAATTACTTCATTCTGAGCGAAGTTAGCATAGTCTCAATTTCCATTTTAACCGTTGTTACGATAATAAACAAAGTCTCGATTAACCACTTTTAAATTAAATTATTAAATAGCAATCGCGTTTTAATGAAGATCACAGATTAGCTCTTACATAATGCATCTTTATATAAAATTGGGGAAAAAATGAAAATATGTCAAATTTTAACTGTGGTAAAATCATTCATAGAACTAACATTTAATCACGGAATATTCACCTTAGGAATATTTCAGGTGCTTCATTATCTGTCGGATCAGGGTTTATCAATAATATGCTTGTGAATATGTTGTTTATTTACCTGTTCGGCAGGTGAAACATTCTGTAAAAAAAAAATTATACTTTATTTCATCAGATATAGGGTTTGTTTTTGCAGCAGGGCACTCAGATTATCAATCTATAGGTTCGCCGTATCACCATGTTATCATGCTAAGTTTTACAAGGAACGGTAACCTAAATATTATAAACAACCAGTGATGGACAAGTAAAACCATAGTGAGCATTCTGCGAAATGTGGACATCTCTCTTATGGGGCGGAAATTCGAAGTCTGGTGCAGAAATCGGTAGTGCATGTTACATATCGCATAGCAGTGAGCATTCTGCGAAATGTGGACATCCTTCTTTTATAGGGCGGAAATTCAAGGTTCCGTGCCGAAATCGGTAGTGCATGTAACATATCGCATAGCAGTTAGCATTGTAAGAAATGTGGGCAGTAACGCCGCCTTCAAGGCAAATTTCCCGCCTTGCATTATACAGGTAACCATTGAAATAAAAGAAAGACGAGTGTTAGTCTCATAATATTATGATCTAACTCAAGTGTCGACTGAACATTAATCCCATTTCATACTAATTAAAATAATGTTAAAAAATTATTTAAACATAAAAACTAAATATATTTATCCATTATTACACAAATTCCTGTTTTTGTATTTTCAGGATCCGAGGTATCAAGACAACGGTTTGTGATGCCTAGTTACAGGACATTGGAATTGAAACTTTTCAAGGATTCATTCCGAAGTGTTTCGTCTGCGTCGTCCACTGAGGAAGGAACCCCTCCCATCATGAAAAGAAGTCGTCGCGTTCACAGAATTCGACACACGAATCCCGAGAAGATTCGTCAGAACAAAGTCCGTGTAATCAAGATGCTATTCGTGGTGGTTCTGGAATTTTTTATTTGCTGGACTCCCGTTTACGTCGTTCAGACGTGGATGATCTTTGATTTTAGCAGCGCATCGAAGCACGTGACACCTCTCATCAAAACCTTTTTCCATCTGCTGTCGTATTTTTCCTCATGTTGTAACCCAATAACGTATTGTTTCATGAATAAGAAATTCCGCGAAGCCTTTGTACGGGTGTTCCAGTGTAAGAGTCCGACGCCGCCATTGAAGGACAGGCGTAGAAATACAGGACAGCTTCGTCTAGATTCAAGACGTAGTGAAGCATTTAATCCAAATTCTTCTACTTCCACTAAAAATAGTTCCATACGCCAAGTAGATTACGACCCGATTCATGGAGCGGATGATTTCAACGATAACTAAAACAAAATTCAATTCTGTACTAAATTCAACCCTTTCACCGGTATCAACTTATAATGACTGTTCCATCCGTTTTACGTCAATTCTCATTTAGACATTTTAAGACGGTAATTAATTATGACGGATGTGACGAACACAAATGGATATGTGTGGAGGCTATCAGTGTTTGAAAGAGGCAAGTCCTTAACTCAATATCATCTAAAGTCTTCGACATTGCGAACACGACATATTTGTCAATTTAAATTAACATTGATGTTGTTGTCTTACCGTGAAAAGATGGGTTTCTGATATCCTATATTTAAGACACAATCTAAAATTTAAAATTGGCACACGAATCTCGTGCCGGAATGCTTTCGAGCGCTATTTGTAATGAAGCGACTCGATGAACATATCCCAGAGAAGAATACTACCGGTGTAGACTGAAATAGCACGACTGCCATTCAATTTGGACCCTTTGCGTATTTCGCAGAACATAATTGATTAGAAATTACAGAAAAAAACCAGAAACGATTGAATGTAGATCAGTTTATATACATTTAAATTACGCTGTGTCCATTTCTCGGTGCCAAAGAATATGATTTAGCGCCTTTAAGTCGGTCAAGTGTGAGTAAGGTCAGACAATCGTAGTTTAATGTCTCAGTGAGTAAGGTGTTGGCTTACTAACCAAGAAGTATGGGGTTCGATCCCGGTGTTGATCGATAATGTTTCTCGTGATTTCTTCTTGTCAGACGTGCAGGACGAAGAGGGCCTTACAAGAAACAACGTCTAGTCGTTCGGGTGAAATCAAAAAGCAGATCGTAGTCTCGCTATCCGGTAAATATTTCCCTCGTAGCACACCTATGGCATCAGTCAGTCTTCATTATGAGGGTTGGTGCAAGGGAGTAGGACGTTAAGTCCCATTTCATTTATATTTAGCACGAAATTAATTACCAATTTCTGACAAGGGGTTTATTTGTCTTTTGGAGCGCATGCCCGACATCAATACATTTAAGACTTGTTTGCTATACATTCCAATATTGACATTCAACATTTTACCATCTAGGTCGTTGGTACTATAATCGTTGAGTTATCGCGTGGAACAATATCGGTGTTCTCTAGTTTGATGTAAAAGCAAACTAGCTGAATGTGAAACATATCTGGATTCTGATTTAGCCTCTAGCAAACACGGCCTAACATAAAATTGTCAAATATTTCGCGCTATTTAGAACCAGTCATACGAGATTGGTCAATGATTATGGATCCTCCTTCATTAGCATGTTTTTTTTTATTACTGACAATCGTAATTAGCAGACATTTTCTATCATTTGAACCAATGACAAAACAAAACAAAGTATCGTGTACTCTTACTCTATGCTCTCTCATTTAACCCACATTTTGTCATAAAAGTTTACAGAATAATTTCGCTAGATGTAAAATCAGGAAATTGTATCAAATGTTCTCGAAAGAGCATTTCCTTACTCTTACACTACACAGGTTACTAATTGGACTTGGATTCTAGGAGCTAGGGTTACTCGGTAACAACATTTAATATTGCGGCTGTATGAATAATGTGCATGCGGATTTAAATGGTAAAAGCTTAAAGCCTGACGTACGTCACCTATATTTGGCAACTCAGTTGCTAGCGTTAAAGTCATTATTCATTGCCGTCAGAGTGGTGTGCTCACAGGTGATATGTTCCAGCAATTAATTGGGAAATCAAATATAAATTTCTTACAAATTGCTTAAGATAATCGCTGATTTCAGTTTAACGTGTAGGCGCGGAGGATTTGCCGTTGGAGAGAGAGAGAGAGAGAGAGAGAGAGATGGGTTTAACGTCCACTCGACACAAACTAGGTCATTTCGGGACTAACATGGTTTTAATTTTATTTCAATAATTCGCTTGCGCGTATGGGTCTTTAGCAGTGGGGGGGGGGGAAACCGGAGGACCCGGAGAAAACCCACGAGGTTGGACAGGCGACCCTACTCCTTATCACGTACAACCGGTGATTCTTTGCCGTTGGAGCACTAGGGTATGTTGGTTAAGAATTGAAAATACACTTCTTCAACTGTTTTATTGCTTGGTAGGTAGAAACTTTGAGAGAATGATGATCTTCAGACTCACATTGTTAAATATATTTTAACTTAATAATATGTTCATCTTTTGAGTTTAAACGCGTTTCTTGCGGATTGCATTGGTTTCATGTGGTATGTTTCAAGAGAACAAATCAGCAGATATTAGCGGTTACACTTGTCATACGGTATAAATCACGCTAGTCTCCATCGCTCCAGTCACATACGCCTGCGAATACATTGCCTCATCCAACGAATGAACAATTATAATATAATATGTTTTTTTTTTAGTTCAGATCAAACTTGTATACACCAGCGCTAGAAACGTTTATTAGTTATGTTAATTAAATAAATAATTTGAGTAATATATGTGAGAGAGTGTCTAAGAGAAGGAGCACAGACACAATTCATTTTTAAAAAAAGAAGGTATATATATGTTTTATAAATATGGTCTGTGAACTGATCCAACGAACAAACAATTACAATAGTGCAAGCAGTATAATCATGTTATTATTTGTTGAATTTCATTGTTCTGTTTCTTTGTAAAATAATACGTCTATAGCTGTATATTATTATGTATATAATCTATATGTACCTAATTACATGTCACGATATTAAAATATTATAAACAGTTTAAACGCATGTGTACATTTAGTCGGATGAAAAATCAGCGTAAAAATAGTACTACGTTCAATGTCATATAAGGGAGATAATCAAATTCAGGGGCAAATAACATATTTTTGAAAGCAATGAAATGAAAATGGGGTTTAACGCCCTAATGTTCTGCTCCGAACTGGGCTAATGAAGACGGGCATACGCCATACAGTGTGCGGTCAGTGAAATTTTCCCCGGACAGCGGCACTACGGCCTACTTTTTTCTTATATCGAATTCCAACTGTCATGGTATCTGTTACGTGCACACCCATGTGTACACGGGACCTCGGTTTTGCGTTCCTCCGAACGACAAGACAGGTGTTCTTGTCCGGCCCTCCGTCCTGCATCACTGACAAGGGGGAAGCACGCCGGAAAATCTGGATGAACTTTCTCGGCCAATGCAGGGATCAACCACCCGACCTCCAGGTTAGCGAGCCAGCGAATTACCCACTTAGCTACCGTGATCCCCATTTTTGAAAGAGATTATTTTCATGTCACAAGCGCCCGTGCATTTAGTCACAAATGTAGGTGAAATATACGGCCCTGTTGTTGCAGACTGACGCCCGGTTTACAAAGCACACATTTTCCAATGTAAAAATCGTCACACTTTTATCTTTTGCTTTGAGGACCACGATGGCTACATGTGGTATTGGCTTACTTATAACCAGACGAGTAAAAGTCGTTCAGATGGTCCAGCATTTTACGATTTACAACATGATATAAATAACCTCATATAGGGTGACCCACCATAAATAAATATCTCCAAATATCTCGACAATTACGCCACAATATTTATATATATACCAAGCCTCAAATTAGTTTCACACAATTATAGTCACTAAATAAACGATCATGTTGTACTTAATAAGCTATGACCATTAATCATGTAGAAATAATAGACTGAAAACTGGTTCCAAGTGTCGTCCATAACATCCAGTCACTTTTGAGTAAAATATAGGTTACGTGCCCTTGTTTTGAAAATAGTCTCGCTTAACCAGTCTATCGATCATTCTACGTCTGATTGACAACTCGGGATAATCAAGACTACTTTTTTACGAAACATAACAGAAAGCTAGAACAAGAAATTGAATTTAGAAATAAGCACTTTAGACAACTCAACAATTGTTTTAAGAAACTTGTAAAAGTAAAATGAAACTACTGCTAGTATCACGTTCCTGTCTAACCCGAGTGTTTCAGAGATATTATTTGTACTAAACCAAAAGATGCCGCTCTTAACGGTACAGTTAATGATAAAGCAATTTAAAAAATAAAACAAACGTAATTTCTAAAGCTGCTGTAATAACCAAGAAGCTAAATTTTACTGCTATTCAAAATCGTCAACAATAGATTTTTTACGGCTGTAATAGTTGATATATTTGTAGAGAATTGCACGTGCATGGCTATTTATCGACTCAAAGAGAGTGCGGGGTAGTCAGAAATCAGTTCGAGACACGCAACTGAAGCGTGCACATTTAGCCGTGTCGAGACCAACTTTCTGTAGAGTGAACGGGTCATCCTACCTCATAGTTGAACCCAGAAATAAGTGCATAGGCCAAAACATCATCGCTGTCTGGGCAAAATATCTCTGAGCAGCACATTTCACGAGGCATGCCTTTCTTCATTAGAACGATTGGAGCAGAAATATAAGAGATTTAAAATGTAATTTGATCTTTAACTTTAACGGTACATTGGAAATCGTATCCAAGATAATATCCCTTTCTTAATGCAGAACAACTACTTTCAAAGTGATTCGAAGTAATTTTGGTGTAACATTTCAGGAAAATTTCCCGAAAGTATTCTAGAGAAATTTCATGAAATAATTGAATTACCCGGTAATTTAGGATAGTTTTATTTCAGAACTGACAATAGAAGACCCAGTAGAAAGATAGTCTCTTGATAACATAAAGATGCATTCCCACGAAAATATTTATAGGGTAGTTATTTCCAATAAATGTATGGCAAATTTGGTATATATTGAAAGTAGAGATGCCCAATCTTACTAGAAAAATACTGGAGTCCCTGCAAAACATACATGGGGGGGGGGGGGGGCACTGGGCAAAAATGCCAGGGTATCACAAATTCGCTACCCGACGGTTTATTGTCTACAAGTTTGACTTAGTTAGCGACAATCTGAACGACAGACTCACCCTACCTGCAGAGAAGTGACTGACACAGTGAATAGCCATGATATCCATATGACGTTATCTAAACGTCACAGGTCATGAGGTCACATCAACAAACAAATGTAAACACCATCATTATGATCATTATCAACATTACAAGACACAATGTTACATTGTAAACAATAGCCGTCTTGCAGCCTTTAGGACTGTATAATCCGTACAGAACGTCTTATCGCTTCTTCCAATGATTTTTCACAAAAATAACATCATCTACAACTCTAGTTTTGACGTCGGCACATTGGCACTATTTTGTGCTTCGGTCGTGTCTATTTCAGATATACACAATCAATTATGTTAATGTTTTTTAGCATGGGGATTGACTAAAAGTTAATTTATTTCAGTTCTAAACAAAAATTTAAAACTTTAACGCAATTTTAAAAAAATAGCCAAATTCTGGCTGGGATTACTGAGCAAAATGGCCATGCACTGTATACGTGCGAAAAAAAAAGCCAGCTACCATTTAATTTTCGTACGTTAGTTACGTACGAGTTAGCGCTTGTTATTTCTTGATCAAATGGTAAGCCGTAGTGGAAAGAGACTGCGATTAAACGGCAGAATCAGAGGTTGGCAGAAGATAATCCAAGAATTTACTTAGACTTAGGCTTAAATGCACAACAATTAACGACAGATGTAATCTGTAAATGGGCACTCCCTCAATTAATTTACATGACAAACAAGTCTGCTTAAAATACAATTCTATGACATGAGGTAATTCTTTCCAATTAAAATGTTTTAAAAGTGATGTGAAGCAAACGTTTAAAAGGTAAATTAGTTTGAAAATGTTTTTAGTCCAAATAAATCACCCAATCACACAGTTTGTACGTGAGAAGGCATCTTTAAACGAAATACAATTTTAAAAACAACAAAAAAATCAGACCACAAAATCAATATTGCTGTTTAAAATCGTAACACGATTACATGTAACAATTTATCGGCAAACGGATAAGTATTAAATTATCCTGTAACACGATATTTTTCTGTTCAGGACGCAGATTTCTATAAACACTGTTTTGGATCGTAGTATATGCTAAACACCGTTTTGGATAAGATAAAGTACATGATGATACCATTTCCAGATTTCCTTAATTCCAAGATTACCCGTGTTTAGAAAATGAAATGATCGAGGTTAAGCACCAATCGTTTGCAATGAACTGACGTTGTCCGAACAGTTTCTCTATGGCCTTCTCTTATTCTTACTGTGAAGCGTTATTTTACGTACACACCGACGTGTACACACTGCTCCTTGACAGCACCGCCGACAAGTGGAAACCACCCAGGAAATCCCGTGAAACTGTCTCGGTCAACGCCGCGATTAAATGAGGTAGTAGAGTTTCCAGATTTCCTTAATTCCAGGATTACCCGTGTTTAGACCTACTGTGATGTGCATAAATCCACAGGCACTTGAAGGGATTAAAATAAAACTTCTTACTACTGCTTGACAATATATTACAGCTCGTGAAGGGATTAAAATAAAACTTCTTCTGTAGTAAGAAGTTTTATTTTAATCCCTTCAAGTGGCCGTGCATAAAACATACAACACAGTAGTTACATATTGTAAGAACGATTTTGGTAACTTAAGAGCTATTTCACTATGGTTTTCAAGCTCTATAGCCCATTGTAAATAATAATGGGTTCAAAATATCCCTACACAGCACAAATGCCATCTTTCGATATCGGGTATTAGCAGATCAGCTTTTTTTTTTGCATGCCAACTTCCATTGCTGAACATAGCTGTACTAATAGTGGTTCAGAGAGTATGACTAACCACAAGGTCCTGGATTCGATCCCGGTGTTGACCGCAAAAGTACCTCGGGATGGTCCTTGTAAGGAGTTCACGATAGTGGGTCTGGCAAGTTACAGTGTCTAGTTCATTATATGGAAGGATACATCGGGTACCCGTGTATATGCTGGGCGCACGTAAAGGAATTTGACAGTTGAAATTCGACGGAAAGTAGGCAGAAAGACACGCTGTTGCCAAGGTGAAACTATTGGTAGAAATTTTACTCTTTAAATTAAAAATAGCATTATATTGTATCTTTAACTAATTATTGTATTCACACATTCTATAAACGTCAGATCTCATGCACACAAATAATGAGTGACGGATTTACACATAAAAAGAGTTATAAAACCAAAACATAGCTGGTTCTATGTGTCAACAAAATATCACCAGATCACGCGTGATCGGAAAATTACGATTGCATCATTTGGCTTAAGTAACCAATCATTATAATTAATTACGTCATATTTGACCAATTAGATAATCGACAGTCAAACATTCAAGCTAGAAAACTGTCCTATCTTTAGGCATTCGACAGACAGACGCTAGATTCCAGAGGGAGAAGATGCAGCAATTTCTGTCAGCAGACTCCCAGCAAGTCTGGTTGAAATGGGATTGAGAGCATGACTTTATTGTAATATATGCTTGTATCGTATGTAACCAGTGCTTGATATATAAAATGTAAAAACGAACTGTTGAATTGTTATTCCTCTTAAGACAAACTACTGAGATAGTAAGAAGAAAATACACAAAGTGAAAAGAAAGCCAAAGAAGACAATTAAAACTACTAGACGATCGCAGAGCTATTAAGAATGGAGCAAGAAGAGAGTGCACGGAACTTACGTAGGATGTGGCGATCGGATTTGATGGCCCACTTTTCACGTCTGACAAAAAACCCATGGTACTACACCCGGGCAAAAGGCAGAA